TTATCAATATGGCACCTGAACCCAAGAAGGAGGGCTCTCGACCCACACGTACGTTACGATGATATTGCGTTAAAAATGTAATACATTTGTTAGAAGGCAAAGTGAGACGAGTTCGAAATCACCAGATTATTCGAACTCGAATCTCTTTGATTCGAAAATCAATCGAATCGAGGTGATTTGATTCGAATTTGAAGCGATTCGTCTAGCGTGTTTTATATATATATTTTTTTTTATATAGAAATATGGCATCACGCAAAAGAGGTCGGTCATCGACAACGCTATAACTAATAAGATGAATAGCTTGTACAAAGCGATATTTAAGTTTCAAGACGACATTCGATTTTGGATCGCGTACATGAAGTTCTGTAAACACGTGGTAGGTAGCGAGGTGAGTGGACGTATATGGAGGCTGTCTGGGCTGCACCCGTGCGATCTAACGCAGTTATTTGTCTCGGCAGCACTTCCACAGCAACATCAACCACATACTGGGCAGAATGCTGCAGGTGCACAGAGACAAGCCCAAGTGCTGGCACATAGCGGCATGTTGGGAATTGGAAGAGAACAAGAACAAGCACGGTGCACGGCAGTACCTCCTTAGAGGCTTACAGATTCACCCTGACTCTCGATTACTGTACATCGATGCTTTCAAGTGAGTACAGAGCGCGTTTCTCGATATAATCTTTTCTGTAATCTATCAATCGCGCGATCGAAGCACGCTCGTCTTCCTTTTCGTAGACTCGAATTGGACAATCGCCTGGCTCCCAACTCTGAAAATACCGAGAACCGGGAAGATAATCCAGTGTCGGCAACGACGGACGATAACGACATGCCACTTCCGTTGAAAACGGCCTTCTTTATATACCAACAGGCTTTTGAGCACATCAAGGATATTAAATTTATAGTCGAGTTGCTCAACATCACAAAAGAGTACGACAACATTGAGCAATTGCAGAAGAGGATCATTTGGTGTGTATATGTACGAACATCTGTCGAAACATTTCTCGCAGTGACTGAAATTAAAGGGACAATTTAATCGTAGCGACATGATTCGGGAGTACGCCCACGAGCCCCTGATGTGGGATACGATGGCGCGTCGCGAGCTGCAGGGTCTGGTGCAACCACGTCTCAGTGACACGCCGATGGAACTGGAGGATGCCGAGCAGGTCTCCTTGAGGGATCGCATCACGGCCTGCAACAAGGTCTACCAGACCGCCGTGAAGAAGATCAAAACTGAAGAGATCTGGTCGTTGTACATAGAGTGCTTGTTGGAGATTAATCGCGACCTGCAATCGTTGCCGAATTTCAAAAGGAAACTCTTGAAAACCGCCCTGATGCAGGCGCATCAGGCGAAGAAACTGAAGGAGGAGCATTATTTGCACTGGGTTTGTGCTCAATATTTCGCCGTACTATCCGTACTATACGCAGACAGTTAACGTCGTAGACGAAATTTGATTACTTTACATCTAATAGCGAATTCGGCAGCTTGCACTAGGGCACTGATTGTGAGTGCACACCAAGGCTTGTTCCGAGTCTACTCTATTTATGGCCCTCTTGTGTACGTGTCCAGAAGCTATTTAGTCGAAAAAATTATCCATACGAATACTATACAGATAATTTTACTGGCTAAGAAGTATTTCACAAAGTACTCAAGACAATCCTTAAATATAAGAATTGATTGTAAACAAGCCTTAAAAAAATTACTGCAAGCTGCCGAATTCGCTACAAGTTAATATATTTAAAAAATAGTTTTTATACATTTATTTTAACAATGTCTCTCCATTGTTGGAGACACTTTGAATTTTCCAATTGAGATATTTATCAAATTGAAATCTTTTAACTGGAAGAATGTTTGGAAACAATAATGACCAGCTTTTGTGTCTTCTTTTACAAATATGTAATTCGTAGATTAATATGTTGAGCGTCGACAAGAAGCACGACGAGAGCGTACGGAAAAAGCTGGACGAAGTGCTGTGCGGAGCGACCGATGCTGTACCAAACAGCGTTAGAATTTGGCACGCGCGGTTCAACCATATGTTGCAGAGCAGCCTGGAGAAGGAGGCGTACGCTATGTTTCCAAAGGTAGTAAATCTTGCAAACTAACGAAATACTTGATCGCGCCGAGATTGACGTGATTTGCTAATTAGGTGACGGAGATATTGAGCGAGAAAGCGTTACCTTTGTGGAAAATGCGGATCTTGCATGCCCAGATAAAGAGCTCGGAAGAGGCCGAGGAGAGCTTTCAAGCGGCTCTGCAGTCGCACATACTGATCGCCAGAGATATCAAGCCTATGTGGCTCGAGTGGCTCGTTTTAACGAAAGGTCAGATTGATAGAGCTACTTTTTTTCTACCTCTCGATTGTTATCCAAGTTCAATTTCCGCGATATTTATATCTTTGCCATCCCTCAGGCATCTGTGCGGCTCGCCAGGCATACAAGAGCCTCTATCTTTAACTGCCCACCTCGTTGGACTTCCCCAAGAAGATGATCGCACTGGAGCTCATGCAGCCGGAAACTATGCCAAAGTACGTACGGCGACCTTACGATATAGCGACGATGGAATTTGGGACTAACGACACGGCCATCTGGATCGACTACATCAAGTACGAGATGAAGCACGGAGACCCGAAAAAGCTAGCAACATCCACCAGCAGGCTTGGGGATTAATATGTTGAGGTTGGTTAAGACGTTGGATCGTAGCCTAGCGTACTCCTTAGCGGATTATAGTCTGATCGCGGCAAAGCCTGATTCCATATGATGCCGATCGTAAACGTGCACTCTACATATATCAAGCGCGACATGTATGTATCGCGTGCTCGTGTCGTCACACGCAAAACTACTGCCCCGACTTGCGTTATTTGTAAATTAATGGAGTAATATATCGCATTTCGGTAAATGTTTAGAATATGTGACCTGCCGACAAGAAGTAAAATATTGAAATACAGCTATACTGGAAGAGGCACTGTTTTATAACGTCAGTGCCCATACAGCACAGAGAGATTGCAGGCACATTGCAGAATGATATCATTGAAACATTGCAATATTGCATATTGATTGCGAAATGTTAAGCTGCAACACTCCTGCAAGATTGCAGCAATATTAAGATGTCCGCTTTTTGAAATATTACAATGAAACATTACAGTAACATTGCAATGTAATATATTTAAAATAATAAAATACAACTCATACATTGCAATATTTTAGTGAGATTTCAACATTTCAGCAATATTTGCTGAAATATCCCTAATAGCGAAGCGTAAAAGAAGCGTTTGAGGTTTCTCTTACGCTTCGCTGTTCCAAATTACGCTTCCTACACATTTCGTTTACGCTTGTGACACTCTTCCCTTACGTTGGATTTACGCTCCAATTTTTATATTCATTAGGGCTCGTTTATACCATAGCACAGTGGGCCAGAATACCTCAAACACTAGCCAAAAGTCAATGTTCCGGTTAAGTTGAAAGGAAGGTTTTTTCATAATAAGTACACTTGGATGCATGTGTTATTAAAATTGTATACACGTTCGATAATCCTTTGAACTTTTAGAACGATTCAAGTGAGAAAATTTTCTTCATTTTTATTAATTTTTCTTTCACTAACACTTTTGTACTATATGTTCACAACATCACACATTTAACTATAGTTCATTTTTCACTTATCAAAGAAAGTATATTTTAATATCAAACGAGAAAAAATGTCGAAATTTTCTATTGTTTTGAATAATACCCCATACAGCACAGATGGTTGCAGTTATACATTGCAGAAACGTTGCAATCTTGCAAAGACATTGCAGGGATATAAAATTGCAAACTTTCGATAGCAATATTGCAGCAATGTTTCAAAAATAATAAAAATACTATATTTTCTATTAAAAAATTTTTTCTAATTACGAGAATTTTATAATGTTATTTTCGTTGATACCAGTAATGCGCTCATTATTAAGTACTTAATCAGTGCGGTGTTGCTGGCAATCTCCATCTATTGCGAAGCGACATAATCTGCTTAGGTTGCTTCGCAATAGCTTGCTGTGTATTGAAAAAGGCCCAAATGCATATGTAATTAGTAAATTTTCTGCTTATGTACAACAACAAGAAATTATTCCAAAAATATTGCACTGCAACATTGCTATAATGTTGCACTGCAATCTCTCTGAGGGCGGACATTTCAACGATGCTGCAATATTGCAGTCTTGCAATGTAACATTTCTGCAATCTTCCTGCAATCTTTCTGTGCTGTGTGGGATCTGTTTATATATACAATACATACAATTTCTTGAAACGTGACAATCTTTGAATCGAAAGTTCCCCGAAGTTTCCCTCAGTATTTCAAGTTAAATATTTATTTTGCAGTGAGAACTATTACTTTTATAATAGTGGCAAAAAGGTTTTACAACTATTACAAAGCTTTTGCAACTATTGCAAAATCAATAGCTCTCTCTTTCTCTGCAAAACACTGTTAACTCTCCATATAGTAGCTAATCTTTTTATTCGTGTATAAATTTAAAAAATTAACAGTGGACTTCCACACCACCCTTGAGGTTCCACTAACGGCGCGTTAGTTTTTTAAAGTGGACCTTCGCCTGGAGTCCTGTTATACCACATTTTTCCTGGCAAAAATAATAAATTATAATGTTAATTTTTTAAATTTATACACGAATAAAAAGATTATAAGCTATCGATTGAGCGCACTTCGGATGTCGTCGGATCACCCGTTGTTGAGATCCGAAAATCTGAGGGCCCGTTAATTCGCGTACTCGCGTAAACTACACGGTCGGTCTCGCGCGCGCGCGAGATATCAAGCTATAACGCTTATACTTGGCGCGAGACACTACCGTGTCTCGTGATCAGCCCTTCCCGTGACATTGTATTCGTCTAAACTCGACTGTTTACTTTAGAAATATCTTTCCGCTGGAAACGATCATTTGTGAACAGTACGTCTTAATAAGTGCCAGTGGCAGGACGCACGTATACGGACCCAGGATCGGTTTTTCGGACAAGGTATTTTGTCCTCTCTCCAAAAGAATTGCCCCTTCTCTCGTTACATTAAAATTAAGGTAATGTAATCTTGTTTCAATTATAGATACTTATCGTGGGCAAACGCTCGACACAATCGAAATTGGAGGATCGTGCGGTGGCCGTATCGAATACCATGGAAAGGCCCTATCGTAGCGCATTCGTTCAGCGATTAGCCAATGGTATTGTTGATATTTAAGAACGTAAAACTAGTATTTTATATAATATTTAGAAGTATGACTATTGATAATTTTTTTTATTGTTATAGAATCCAAACGGAGGAAGTTGTGGCAAACCGTTGGTTTGGCTCTGGACCGTTGTACAAAAATGATATACCTTTTTTTTGTAAGAGTGTTCGTATTCGCTGCCTGGTTGTTGAGTCAATTCACTGGCGTTAGGAAGTGGCTGGAAGCGGGGGAAAGGCCCGAAGCTTCTTTGGATCACGCTTCCACCGCTACTGATTTTGCTTCGTAAGGAGCATAAACAAAAACATCATTGAGTTCCATTTTCTGATCCACGTGATATCTAGACCGATCCAAACGCAGCCTTTGTCTTCTTTCTGTTTCAGGGGCTTGCATCGCGCAGAGGCATTTCACTTTCGCCGAATCTCCGTGCAATATCGAAAATGTGTCACCGAAACGATCTATTTCCCGGATACCTCATAATAAAATTGCGATCTGCCATTTATCTGACTGGCTTCACTCTAGGGCACATCCCCAGAAGGATTTTGCCGAACGGAGATATATCGAGTGCGCCCAGAAAATTCAAAGTCTGGGTATGCGAAATAATTTCTTTCGTGGTTAAGTAAATTATATCATTTTAATACTTTTGCTGCTTTAGGGATTGTTGAGCGAGAACGATCTCGAGCCTGTGATGTTTGCCATGGCGAGTACGAATTCACGGCGAATTCTGACGAAAGTTGGCAATATTTTCCAGTTCAGGTAAATTTCTTTTTAAATAAAAATCTTCAATCAATTTAATGAACGTATAGAAACATATACGTATATAAGCTGTTTTCGTTTTGCTATTGTATACTTTGAGTAATGGATTTTAGATTTTATTAGGACTATAGAGTAATTGATGATCTTTTTGCGCAGAACACAGAGATCAAGAGTCCATACGAATATGCAGAATTGAGGATACAGAGCAATCACTGGGGGCTATATTGCACGTGTTTGTGCAGATATCGCGTTCACGGGAGATCAATATAATTAGGAATTGATCGCGCCATGGTTCCTCTTCACTAAACATTCGCAAGATCGTTCAAGCAATAGCAAGAAACGAGCCACAGCTCTACTCAAATACGTGCCTTCAACTACCATCAATCTTCAAAGGTTGCGTTTGGATCGGTCTAGATATCACGTGGATCAGAAAATGGAACTTAGTGATGTTTTTGTTTATGCTCCTTACCAAGCAAAAACAGTAGCGGTGGAAGCGTGATCCAAAGAAGCTTCGGGCCTTTTCCCCGCAGCCACTTATTCCTAACGCCAGTGAATTGACTCAACAGCCAGGCATCGAATACGAGCACTCTTACAAAAAAAAGGTATATCATTTTTGTACAACGGTCCAGAGCCAAACCAACGGTTTGCCACAACTTCCTCCGTTTGGATTCTATAACAATAAAAAAAATTATCAATAGTCATACTTCTAAATATTATATGAAATACTAGTTTTACGTTCTTAAATATCAGCAATACCATTGGCTAATCGCCGAACGAATGCGCTACGATAGGGCCTTTCCATGGTATTCGATACGGCCACCGCACGATCCTCCAATTTCGATTGTGTCGAGCGTTTGCCCACGATAAGTATCTATAATTGAAACAAGATTACATTACCTTAATTTTAATGTAACGAGAGAAGGGGAAATTCTTTTGCCACAACTTCCTCCGTTTGGATTCTATAACAATAAAAGAAATTATCAACCTTCAATAAACGCGATTTGCCACAGCACCTGTAACTGTAACTACAGGTGTAAATACATTGATTATTTAATGCCTTTGTAATATATTTTCAACGAAGCGATCAAAAAAACTGTATACACGCGCCGATATTTAATACACACGAGACGGGAGCCGTTTCCGTCATCATTTAAACGCGTCAAACACTGTATATACATTCAATAACGTCGATAATTTATACCGATCAAGAAGATTGCACGATTGATTGGGTCAAGCAGGAAAACAATTACTCACGAGCGTCGGCCCAATGGTGTTCTACAATTATTACCTATATATCTTCACTGTATAGCCTTGCTATAACTCGAGGAAAGCCTTAAGAGAAAGAAAGGAAACCTTAGGAGAGAGAAAAAAGAAACAATTTCGTACATATCTCTTGTTCGACAAACGCGGGAGAACGATTAAGTGAGACGGATAAAGAAAATTGGCAAAGGCGGTTTTGTAATTTCGTAAGGAATTTTGGGAGTGAGAAAGAGTGAAAAAGAGAGAGTTTGTCCGTGCAATGTAATGCGTCGTGTAAATATCGATTTGGCAGCGTCTCGTGCAAGACTGACACGTCGAAAGTTACTCCAAAGCGCGAGTGTGAATCATAGAATATAATAATATTCGCAATAACGCGACAGTACAAATTGTAAGCGATCGTAACGATCAATTAATTGTAGTTAAGTACCGTTAATTGCTAATTTCTAAGTGTGCAACACAGCGAGTGGTTTTCGGCCGCCTTTGTAAGGATCTAAACGATTAATAACAGCGGCAGTAACACCCCTCGATTGTATATATGATATTTTATATTTATTTATATATTTATATATTTATTTATTTAGGATAGGATTAAAAATTCAACTACCGTTAACAATAAACGCGATTTGCCACAGCACCTGTAACTGTAACTACAGGTGTAAATACATCGATTATTTAATGCCTTTGTAATATATTTTCAACGAAGCGATCAAAAAAACTTTATACACGCGCCGATATTTAAGTAATACACACGAGACGGGAGCCGTTTCCGTCATCATTTAAACGCGTCAAACACTGTATATACATTCAATAACGTCGATAATTTATAATTTATGTTGTATCAAATGACATTGTTTGTGTTATATCAATGTTTTCTTAACCATTTTTCACACTCCTGCCATAGGTACAGATGTTTTGTACGTGGAACACAATTTATATTAGGAGTACTTGTAAGATCTTTCTCTCATTGATGTTTCACACGGCCAACGAGTTTTAAGCTGAAACATTTTAACATTTTACATCGCATAAATTTATAATCTTGCAGGTTGTACGTTCAGGATTCTTCACTCGCACGTATCTAAAGTGACAACTTTGACAATTATGTACCTCATATTTTAATCTTTGCAAATTTTTTCGTCTGGTACCTTCGTTGTCAAAATACTCTATGGATTCAATAGAAGATGCACTGTGCCTCTTATCAGAATCAAAGTAAAAAACTACTCTGGGTTTATTATCATTGGCTTTGCTTGGCGACAAATACCAATAATATACGCCCTAAAAGTATCGTTTGTAACATCAATGAATTACGCATAGAGAAGCATGATGATAAAAAGTCAAGACAATTTACAGATACATGAGATTCCACTCACTCATAATATACCAATTATCCAAAATACGGTTAAAACAATTATCATTTCATCATCAAGCATATTTTATTTGATCAATATGTGAATTCTTATTTAAATATTTCACGTGAAATGATACTAATTATAATACTAAAAATTTCGTTTGACATATTCAAATTACAGATTATTCGAGACTCATTTGTCACATCTTAAATACAATTTCACGACGTGTGAAATATTTGCTGTTTGGAAAATAGTTGGGGAAGAGCGATTAAAAATAAGGAAATTTATTTATATATAAAGCTATACATACATGTTTCTCTTATTCTAAAGCTACGATACACACAAATTTCATGTATCATCATTGTTATCCACGTTCATTTCTTCCTCATCGTTCTCCATTGTGTCATCTGATACCCCAAGTTTCTCGAAACCATGTTTCTTCGTGTACACTCCCAGAAGCAACAGTTTGAAAACTGCCAGCGGTTTACCCAACAGTTTCTACAAAACACATTGGGATTAACAGTTTCAATGGTTCAACGTATCAACGGGATGGGTGTGTTCCCAATTCCTCTCAGTACTGCCAGTACTGGACGCTATTATTGAATACAGCATCCGAGAAAGTAATTTCCAAATGAAACCTCAGTAGCCTTCATAATAACATAGCGGTTATTCTTTCCTGAATGCAACCATTCGTACTTTTTCTTTGATACTGAATGCTCGAGACTATTGAGTACTAGTCAGTAGTACCGAGAGAAATTTAACTTTACTACGATGTTTCTTGAAAGTATTCAAATTAGAAATTTGCATATTCTTATTTCGCTCTTAAAGCTTCCTCTATGAGGAAGCCATAACAATGGAAGCAATGTGCAAATTTCTAATTAG